GTAAAAGTATGCATGCACTGACTTTTTAAATATAAATGTTCACCCTAATCATAAAGCAGTAAGGTAAAACCATTACTGTCTATTTAAATGTAATTGAAATATATATTTAAAGTCCCTCTGTAGTTAATAATTTTATCCCTTAAAACTCATCTTTGATCACCAAAATTATATATTTAAAAAAAAAAAATTCCTGTGATAATGCCTTAAAATATCTTGAATGTAACTCTACACCCTTGCCCCATTTAGTATATGCGGTTCTATGAATATGCAAATGAGCCCCGCCTCCACTCACTCACTCAGCTCAGAGATCCACTGGTTGACGATTACACGTTGATCTGATTGGTTACAAGGTCGTTTGTGACGTCAGAAACACCAGCGATTTCAAACTGTGTGTTTGAGACTGTCTTTGGTTCACTGCAGTTTTAAGCAGAAAATACTCAGCAATGCTGTCGACTTATGAATTTGCACATGGTTTGTCTTAAAGCATATTAAAAACACCACATAGACTTGATTTTCACCACAGGGGGACTTTAAGGAATGTTTACTGTATATTTTTTATGCATTTAACATTCTTTACTGTAAGATTTTTACACTCTTAAAGTTTGAACATGTAAACTAAAGGAGTCGTGGCTTATCTTGTAGACAACAAAGCCTTTTCAACAAAACCTCATGGGAAGGTGAACCCATACAAAAACCTGGTGAACATGATATAATCCTGAGGCAATAGTGCAACACAAAACAAAACTATCCAACAGACTCGGATGAAGTTTGTTTGAAGATTGACTTTGAGGATTGAAGATTTATCACAGCATGACTCATTCACTCGCACATCCCTCGCTTGGCCGGTCGCCATCGTGGTGAAACTAGCGCCGCCATGCTAGCACATTTTCTCAGATGACGGTGAAGTTGTGTCTTATTAGTTCGCACAGCGGGTCTACATTTTGGTCCAGAATGATGATGTGTTAGAGCAGTGAGAACATTCAGGGCTGATGTTTTCGGGGCTGTACGATCATGGTCCATCATCAGCTCCATGATCACGTACAACAGGTGCTTCAACACTAGAGGAAGTATAGCCTGTAGACTGACATCTATTCACTTAATCTGTCCAGGACAATGCTAAGAACTAGATTTAAAGACATGTGAGAGTGTTCCTTTAACACTTGAGCTTTGAGGGATGTTGTCAGGATGTTGTTAAGGTGCTCTGAGTGGTTGTTAGCAGGCTAGGCTAGTCAGTTGCTAGCATGTTCAGAGTGGTTATTAGCTTGCTATGCGGTTGCTTGGTTAGCATGCTATGTGCCCTGATAGCACACGCACATTGTGGAGACTTCTATTTGATGTACGTGTCTTCACCTGCAGAGTGTTTATCTGCAATACTTCGCTAAAACTTTTACTGTCAGATGTTAATAGATATTTAGAACATGTCTTTAAAGGCCGATTCACACTAGCATTAGCATCATCAGATATGAATACGTAGATGCCTCATTAGAGACTGTTTCTATGGGCGGCTATATAAGCTGTCAGCCATATTGGATTGGTCACATGGCCGGTCCGTGAGCACTTGAGAGCAAGTTGACTGTGCGTCTGCAACCGCAGTTATTCACATGTACTGTATGCATAACTACATCTGCAATAGACTTCAGTAGATTATTTTAATAGGACTTTTTATAGTTTTTACCGTCTGTGACGACAGCATCTGAAATGTTGACTGTTCCAAGATGGTGGGCACACTGCTGTATCTGGGGCAGTCGAATGAGGTTTCTGTGTATAGATCAGTGGCGGCTCCTGCAAGATCTCTCAGGGGGGGCAAATGTTTGGATGATTGATAAGGACAAGGTCCACCCATGCAATGGATAAATAAACAGCTTAAGCATGTAAAGGCAACTTCACTTTAATATTAATGACAAATAAAGTGACTTACAATAAATCTTCTTGTTTCTATACTCACTTTTATTACACTTATTACATCACATTACTCACTTAAAGAGATAATTTTCATTTTTGGGTGAACTATTGACGGTTATAACGTCACCTTTGGTCCAATCTCCATGAAACTGGTGGCCCTAACTCTTTAATTGCCAATTTATCCTGATTACTACGACGGCTGAATGGTATTTCTTTTAATGCCACGATAGAATTAATAACTGCGTTCGCCATGACGTTGTTCAACTTCAACTGTCTGTAGCCACAACTCGCGAGATGTCCCAACAGTCTCTCTCGCTCTCGGTTTTTTTTTTGATGAAGAAATTGAATTTTATCAATTTGATGAAGATAATAAAGTTCTGTTTCATTTTTTATTGTTGTTGTTTAAATTCAAAATTGTTTTAAAATATTGTTTGTCACTTAATCTTAAAGATTTTTAATAGTGTATGTTCCCACCAATCGCTGCACAAGTTAAGGATACGTATGATGATGTAAGCACGTTAGTGCGAGCCCTCCCGGAACACATAGAGAATGCATTGCAGTGCCTGCAGTTCGAAAAAAAAACATCTTTGAATGTAAGTCTATGGGAACACTCTGGGCGATTCTCAGCCAGAGTGAAATCGCCCAAAAAGAGGCGGTACTCCACAGAACGTGACATGACGCTGATTGGACTATATCCAGAGGTTGTGACGGCTAGCGTAACTCTGTCTGTGGTGAATGAGATTGTAAATGTGATTCACACTTTGGTGGTGCGTCGCCCAATCGCCCTAATGAAGAAACCGCCCCTGGTATAGATATCAATGGTTAGCATACTGTGCGGTTGTTAGCGTCTTCCAAGTGGATGTTAGCATGCTATGCATTTGCTAGCATGTTCTAGTTGGTCAGTGTTTTTGTGGTTACTTCCACTTCGTAGGTAAGGACTTCCATGAAACTAAACTTGAGTCCATTCAGTTACAGATTTAGCCTTAATTGTAACACCTAAAGGGCCCACCGGATTGTCGCTATCTTGAGCAAAAACAGGCCTAGTGAGATATAAAGGTTTGAAATGACTACAGAGCGGAACGTAAACACTCTTCACTTGCTTTAATACTTACTCAAGAAAACAATACATTACCATAATTGTTCTGTAACCCCTCTGACAAGACCTTGTGGGAACAGGGTGAGGAATTTCATCTGAATGGGGAGAGACCTCAGTCTGTCCTCCTTCTCCCCCAGCCCAGACGAGGGCTTTGTGTGCCGTGAAAGCGTTCCCATCAGAAGCCTCCGTCAGACGCAGGCATGAAATCTGTGCCACCTCCCTCTCGGTGCCGTCTGTCCTCACACACACATAAACAATCGCTAAAGGGTTAACCTTTAACATGCCTCGAATGTTCAGATAGTTGTGGTTTAAATACAATAACTCTCCTTAAACTTACTCTGAACTATAGCAAGATATTTGTCAGTTTAAAGGGATAGTTCACTTTGAAATGAAAAAAAAAATGTTTAACTTCCGCTTTCCGGTCTTTTCCGGAAAGCGCCGGAAGTGAAACCTCGCGCGTGTACGTCACTCATTGTTTACACAGAGCAGAGATTGTAGGTAAGACGGCTTATTAAAATGGTACTAATTTGCGCTTATCCGGGATGTTTAAACCGTCGTAAAAGAAAACAATTCCAAAAAAATAAAAAATAAAACAATTGTATGAGTGACGTACACGCGCGAGAGATCACTTCCGGTGCTTTCCGGAAAAGACCGAAGCGCCGGCGCCCTCAGATCACTTGGACGTGGCTGTGGTTACAAGAGGTAAAAACGATATAAATACTGTTCGTTTTCTCACACAAACCGCTCGTTTCGTGTCTTAGGCCATCAATGTGTACTTACATTTACGAGTCATTAAATCATGTTTAATTTGGACTTCTCTGTGCTGCTCTTTGAGGTGGTGACCATAGACCTGCATTATATGACTGACAGACAAGAACGGTTTGACCTAAAAATATCAAAATTGAAAATACTGTGGAAACAAAGACACCTGCATCTTGGATGCCCTTGAGGTAAGCTAAAACATGCCAAAAATTAATTTCAAAGTGAACTATCCCTTTAAGTACAGATACAGATCTGCAAACAGCAAGATGAGTGAAATGCAAATACGTTGAATCAGTGTCCGAAACAATTCACCTGTAACGCTGAGTTTATCCATTACTTTTAGCTACAAACGAGCTCCTGTTAGCAAACTAGATTTTTTACATTGCTTGAAGAACATGTGAGTGGTGTTTGCCACATTGCTAGGGTGTTGCTAGGTGGTTTCTAGGGCATTGTGGGTCGTTTTCAGGTGGATTTTTTTTTAAACCTAGTTTCTATGATATCCTGGTCTCTAGATATTTCACCGCATTTGATCATTTAGAAAAGTAATAGCACAGCTTTCCTCAACAAGGTATCGTATCATGTATGTCTGAAGCACAAGTTACATGTTAGCCTACATACTAGGGGTAAAGGGTTTGCTGAAGTATAGTAATTGTGACAATATTTGGTCTACGTTTATGATCTAATGAGCCGAACCACAGCAGAAGGCAGAACATGTGAAGGTTTAAACTGGGATAGTGTGAGTGCCTGCAGATGGCGCTCTAAAGCTAAGACAACACGTGACAATCCTGAACCAGCAACATGACGACAAACTTCCTCATCTCTAGTGAAGACTGTGTTCTGTGTTCATAATTCTATTCTAATTCTTTCCTATTTTGGTGCAGTTTATGGTTCAGGTTAATTAAAATGTGATTTATGAATAATATAAGCAACTGACGTTTCTTTCATTTGCATTATGTTTTTAATTCTCATCTCATTTCTATAATATTCAATTCAAATGTCTTTTTGAAAAAGGTTGAATAGAAGAAATAATAAATTCATTATGACAATTGTGATTTCAATTTAATATTCAAAATATATGTCTTTGTACAATATTATTTCAAGTAGGTACATTTTCATTTCATTTACAAAACATTGGAAATATTTATTTTGTTTTACCCCATTTCAAATATTCAAACAAAACATGACATATAAAATGCAACGTGACAAACATGTTTTTAAGATCCAAGGCATTTAAAAAAAAAAGAAATGTAAAAGAGAATTCATATTGTTAAATCACTTCTTAAAGATAAGCATGAAGTCTGGTTTAATTTTATTGCGAATCCTTAAATCGGATGTGCTAACATAAGACAAAGATGATGTAACACTTACTCAAATCATAACTCATGTGAACAAAGCCATGTGTGTGTGTGCGCGTATGTGTGTGTCTGTGTTTTAAGACATGACATGATTAGAGGACTTGTTTAAAATTCCCATATAGGCACTATTTCCTCCATGATTTATTATAACCTCTCAATAACTAATTCTGTACAATCTATTCATTTAGATTCATTTGCTGTTTTTAAAATAGGTCTGAATTCACCAATAGTGTGAGACGAAACTGGATAAAAACACAGGACTTATCAAATGATTCTAACAAATTAAACACAATGGAATGCATGTTTACGAGTCAGCAATATAAAATATATTCTAATATAATCTCATAATTTGAAGAGCTAATAGACAGCTTTAATCTATCATAAATTCCGGGCATCCTTTATGTAGAAATTGGATATATCTCTGATTCATGATAACCATCGTGTGTGTTGCGCTCCCATTAGGAAGGTGACAAATAAACCAAATAAATAATAATAATAAAAAACGGATTTGTTTTATAGGTTGTGAGTCCTCTGGTCTCCGTGCTTCATGTGTGTGTGTGTGTTTGAGGTGTTCTGGTGTTTAAGTCCGAGGTAATGGCTGGTCAAGGCCATCTGATGGGCCGAAAAGGCCATTTTGGTCCAGTTTTGAACATGGAGAGGACTCCTGACGGTCTGCGCATCACAGTTCCTCGGGATCCGCGAGGGCTTGTTGGGACTGTCCGGTGTGGTTGCGGTTTCAGCCAGAGACCAGATCTTCGGCTTCTGAGGCGGACTCGCGTGAACCGAGGGCTCTTGCGCTGCCGGACTCTTTTTGACGCGCTCCTCCTCTCCCTCGTCTGAGTTCGTGTCTTTCATAACACTGCTCATAAAACTCTTCTCAGCTCCCGCATCATCATATTCCTCAGACGCATCAGAGTCAGAGACTTTAGACACCGACTTCTCGTCCTCCGGATAATCACAATCCTGCTTGTCTTCCATGCTTTCCGTGTCAATGTTCTCCAGGTCTATTTCCTCGTCCTCGTCCCGCTTGTCTCCGTCCTCGTTGTCGCTCGTATACACATTCCCTTCCTCGTCGGTCCTTGTTTTGGGAACCCAAGTCATTTTGTTCTCTTTCTTCAGCCTCCTCCGGGCGTTGGCGAACCAGGTGGACACCTGAGTGAGGGTCATTTTAGTGATGATGGCCAGCATGATCTTCTCGCCCTTGGTGGGATACGGGTTTTTCCTGTGTTCGCTGAGCCAGGCCTTCAGGGTGCTGGTGCTCTCACGGGTGGCGTTCTTGGGTCGGGACGGGTCACCAAACTGATACTGGTGTCCGTATGGGTAGAAGTGTGTGTGAGGAAACCCTGCGTGCTGAATCCCAGGACTGTCTTTAAACTCGTACTGCGAGCCCTTACACAGAGGGAAAAAAGCAGATGTGAGCATTTGTGGTTCTAAGAGAGAGAAAAAAATACTTGCTTATTTTCTTCTATATTTGTATATAAAAAAAATGGATGAAAAACATGAATAACCCTAAAGAAAATCAAAACTATCTTGAAGAATAAAGAATTGTCCAGTGTATTATTTTTTTTTTTTGCATCTGACACTGCAAAATGAAAATATATAGTTTCCTTTATTATTATTTTCAATCTATATGGAACAACTTTGGCTATTTAACTTTAATGCATTCAGTGAAATTAAATAAGCGTTTTAAGCGTTTTGATCGGGTTAACATTTAAAACTACCGTATATGAAGAAGCCTACATTCTCGTTGTTCTCAAGGGATCTTGAATTGCCTTTGAATATTAAAAAAAACATGGAAGTTCCATGATTGAATCTTCAGGTAATAAAAATACATAAATGTAGGCTGTTATTAATTTGCATAGATAAAAACGAAAACGTCATTTGTGGAACGTGACAAACGTTCTCTTCGTTTAAAAACATTTTTACTTAAATCTACACCGTTTCTTTTGTTTTATTTTTTAAAGTATCGAACCTATACGGTTTTAGTAATTATATGTCATATGGTAGCAACATTTTCCAATTTTAAGACATCCGCATTTTCTTAAAAATAGCCGTTTTCTTATCAAGAACATTTTAAGGCTGTATAGGGTTCGTGTGTTGAACTTAACGGTTTTTTTTTTTTTTGAGAAAAAAAAACGTTTAGCATATTTTAATACTGTTTTCTTTAAAGAATCAATTCGTAGAAGTGAAATAAATAACTAGATAATTAGAAAAGGTTTTTTTTGGTGCTTACAACTAAACTTTAATTGTCGGCTTGCTAGTGCGGTTAACAGGCTTTAGTCATCGGATAAGGATAAAATGCGAACAATATTTTCAACCTAAAAGATGCTTGTAAATCCAAATGATTATTGTGTTCTTGGACTCAAAGCTTTCTTCTCTGCACTCACCAGCTGGTTGAGTATGGAGAGGTCGCTGGAATAGGGCAGGAACGCGCTGTATCCCTGCGCGTTGGCGAACGGAGCTCCATACATGCTGGAGAGGACGCTCGAGAGCGAGCCCGACGCGTTGAGATCCGCGACGCGACCGCCGACCGACGCGTGCCGCTCCGTGGAGTACAGCGGTCTGATGTACTTATAGCCGAGCTGCGGGAGAGACATGCTGATGCTGGGCGACGGAGAGAGTCACGGATCTCGCCTTGACACGGAGGATTCAGAGGAACCTCGCGGAGAGTCTTGGGGAGAGTTACAGCTCTCTCCAGTCTGAGGTGGACTGAGGTCACATTCAGATCGAGTGGGATTGTTCACAACACTCGTGTGATTGACATTTCTAGTGTCTCACAGGCCCCTCCCATCCCAGAAAACTCTCTCTCTCTCTCTCTCTCTCTCTCTCTCTCTCTCTCTCTCTCTCTCTCTCTCTCTCTCTCTCTCTCTCTCTCTCTCTCTCTCTCTCTCCCACACACACTGTGTCTTTCGTAGTCCGATCAATTCCGACTTTATTTCTTATTACCCTTTAATCAAATCAAAATTTATTTTCACACAACTAGATATAAACCGGATCCATATAGGCTATATTGTGACAGAAACAAGACAAACATTTAGCCTATGTGTGTCAGGAATAGGCTAACTAATCGCCATAAAAATAGCTACAATTTAAACAACAATTATAACACAGCTTGACTAATTTATTATGACAATAAAATGTGATATATAGGCCTAAAAACCTATACAAATGATACAAATATTCTGTCAATATGAAAATTAATTAAATAGCCACGGTAAAAAAATAAAATAAAAACAAGAGCTTGTTATTCGTCATTATAAAAAAAAATTAATATTTCTGCAAAATGCGATTTAAACAAGATTTTTCTGTCAACATTAAGACTTAATCAGAGAAACAACAGATACAATATTGAAATTCCAGGAAAAGCTTAAATAAATCCTGAAGAGGCATATTGATGCTTTATTGTCCTCAGAAAACAGTGCTGAGATTACATCTCCATCATCGAGTTATTATGAACAACATCATAAATCTTATTTCACAGAAACTAATCCGCTTTAAAGGGAGTTTTTATCCGGCGAAGGAAACGATCATATCACTATAAATCGACATGTGCTTAAATTAACAAAGGATAAAACAAAAGATCTGTAGATTTGAAACTAAAGGAAGTTAGATAATAAGAGATGACATTAAATTGAATTCTGTTTAAGCTTTTCTGGTCCATTTTCACTCGGTTTGAAAACGCATGACTGTATTTCCCACATTAATACAAAGAGTAAAAGAACAGGTTTATGTTGCTGAATTCCAAACTAAAGAATAATAGCAAATGTTACACTTCTGTTAAATCGGGAGAAAAAGAGGCGCTGCGTCAAAGACGTGATTTTTTTTGTGTTATGTGAATTTCACTGAAATAAAGATCCATATTGATTTTGCATTATGGTGGATCACTATAGCTATAAAATAATTGTAATAACATGGTTTTACCAAAGCTCTTAAAACAAGAGATATAAGGGATAGGCATATTTAGTCCAACGAAACAAAGAGAAAAGCTTTTTTAGAGTTTCTTTCTTTTTATCCATCTTCCAAAATTAAGAACCAAAATGATTATATATCTTCGAGGAATATTTATTTGGCTACATTTCCACTGAAGGAACATTCACTCTAAGAAATGCTGGGTTGTTTCAACCCATGTTTGTGTCAAATATGGACAAAATTTAAACCAACAGTTGGGTTTAAAAATTACACACAACAAAATTTAGACCAACGGTTGGATTTGTCCAAATGTGACCCAAACATGGCTTGAAACAAACCAGCGTGTTTGGAAAGGACAATGAAAACAAAATCTAAACTCTCAGGAGTTTATTAAGTTGCCCCAAATGCACCAACGAGTCATCGGCGGATTTCGAGATTCAACCTTCTATCAAGTTGTATATCTTACAGCAGCATTGATCCATATAGAGCTGTGGTGGACCGTCATAAGGAGTTCATAACCGCAGGGCTGCTGACGCCGAGCTGTTATAGCGCGATTAGACGCGGCGCGCGAGTCTGTCGGCCATGATTTGCACGCGCTGGAGCGAGTTGGTGGGGCGGTAACGAAAAATAAATAGTGTTTGCAAATTATCTGAACATCCTACCCTGCCATCTCGTGCTCCTTTTGCACCTGCTTTATTTCAGCAGGCGAATAGCTGGAATCTCGAGGAATCAATAGGGCGTTTAGCCAGGAGAAACAGAGTCCTTATGGCAGTCAAATGGATGACTTCACAGCCAGTTATTCTTAAGTAATAGATCCAGTGCGCTCCGCCACCCTGAAGAGACAGCAGCGAAAACACATTTCCCAGAATACTAACAGGAGCGTCGCGCGCCGTGTCGAGGGTCACAGGTTAATGCAATGCACGCGCGAACAGTTTGTTTTCCTGCGAAGTTTAGTAGCTGACCAATGAAGCTTGTAATTACAATATTCCAAAAAACTGGTCTTGGATCAGTATATAAATCTCTCCATCCAATTACAAGATGTAATATTTCTGCAGTGGCGCTGGTAATGAGCTCTAATGCCTGAGCTTCAGTTAATCCCCCTCGGATGCAGCACAGATCAGATGTTGCCTCTGTAATTAGACTGGCAGAAAATCATTATTTCATGTTCAAATAGAAAATGAGGTTGGTGGGGAAGTTAATTTCTCTCTGCTCTGTCAAGCATGGACAAGAATTTAATGATTTAATTACAGTTGTAAGCTCTTTGGATCAGACTTAAATGGAGACGGGTTTTTTTACCCTTTCTTCTTCGGCACAGTTGTGTAAATGGCTACGGCGACTCAAAGCCTTTGACACGAGCTCAGAGAGAGCAGAGATCTTTCTTATGACGATATTAATTGCCTCGCTTCCTTGTTCAACATCTTAAGTAACACCTCTTCATCCTTGATGACACTGTACAACACACAACGAGAAGTTTAGAAGAATGACTAGGCTGCTCTTTTCCCTGCAGTGAAAGTGAATGGGGACTCAGATTACATTCATCAACTCACACATCAGTTGTGGTAAACGGAAGCTCGTTCGCTGATCGATGTTTATATGTGAATAAAAGCCTAAATTCAATCTGTTCCTCATTTAAAGTGATCGAGTCTCTTCAGAAAATTTGACATAAATCGCTCAATTCATATGGATTAGATTTACGATCTCTTTATGAACTTTTTGAAGTGTGAAAGTGGTAGTTGCGTAGCTGTCAATGAGGGACAGAAAGCTCTCAGATTTCATTGAAAAGATCTTCTTTTGTGTTGTGAAGATGAACGAAAGTCTTACGGGTTTGGAACGACATGAAGGCGAGTAAATGATGACAGAATTTTCATTTTTGGGTGAACAAACCCTTTAAGATGAAGTGAAGTCATAGGTTTGTGTGAAGAACAGGCTGATATTGTTAACTAAAACTGAATCTATTTTTTTGTTAATTTAAATAAAATATGAATAATATAGAAATGAAAATTGAAGGAGCATGAGAAATATTGCCTTGTCAACAAACTTAATAAAATAAGTTGAATTTGAAGTACTGCAATTATTAAAAGTAAAACTGAAATAAAAATAAATGAAAGCTATACATATATATAAAAGAACTAATACAAATGACAAAAGCACATTAAAAAAAATTAGTAAAAATGAAAGAAAATACAGAAAAATATAAACATGATTATTAGGATAATTGACAGTATAAATACTATAATACTATTAAAATAACACACACTGAAATTCTGCCAAAGCTCTCAAATTTCAGTCTTCTAAATGTGGGCTCTTTTTGGAGACAGATTGTTTCATATGAACTGTCAAATGGAAAAGAGCTGCAGAAATATTCTTTTAAAATGAACTGATTAACTGAGCAGCAAAGAGCAACTTCTCCTTCTCTCATGTTTCAGAGAAACGTTGGCAAAGTCAAGAGATCACACTCTTGACTCAACATGAAATGTTACTTCTGAAATCAACTTTCAAGACCAGTGTCAGTGCTATCCACATTAATGTACTCATAAATCAACTATAGTCTGGTTTATGTGTGTTTTTTATTTCTCCTCATTGAAAGCAATGCTAATAACACAATAAAAAGGTCCCATTTCCTGGTTTTGTCAGCTTGTTTTCTTCCCTGCACTATTAAATGAAGCCCCTGTGCCTTCACTGCCAGTATAACGCTGACATTGTCCACAGTCCAGTGCGGATATGCAAGAATATCATTTAGTATTCAGAGGCTTTATGTGTCACTCAACATGACAGACCCCCTCATGTCTCTTCCATATTCAGAAATCCCTCCATATTCCCCGTCCCGTAGGAGCAGCTTGCAGAAATGCATGTGTTTTAAAGGGTTAAATCCTTCATGAGTTCACAGCAAAAGATCTGCAGGTGCCAACAAAATATGATCAAATTATCTGTTACTAAACCAAGCATCACATTATTCCTCATATTTCACCTTCCACTGTACATGTTTATTCATAAATGTATTTACACTGTCAATTGCAGTACAGTTCCTTGTTGTGTGTGAGTGTGTGTTCATGTAAAAGTGTGTGTGCTGTAAATTAGCTGTGGGAGAGTGTGATTTTCGGACACTAGTGAGATTAGTTCTAGCAAACGTGTGTTCCTGAAGCGACACCTTCTCGAGAGACCTGTGCTCTCCATTCCTCTCTCTGAGTTCGGTCTCGATCACACTGTATTCCTGAAACCAGTTTTCATGTCAACTACATATATATATGAATAGGTATTTATAGATTTTGCATATGGTGGTTTCCTGCGCCACCGTAGGGTTTTCTGAGTCGTTGACAAGTACTTAAGATGTTCCGGTTGGTCGGTGAGTGAAAAGAGCTCAACATCTCTATGATATTCTGGTCTGTAGATATGGCTCAAATCCCTCCTTCAATGTAAATCTATGGAAATTTTTTCTTGCCTGTTTTATCATCCATACGAGAAAACCTCAAGACTGGTCTCAGAAATATAACCGCACACCTCTCCTCCTTTAATTAAGGTATTATTGATGCTCGTAGCAAAATGGTTATAGAACAAGTTATAAATCAAAGTTTTAAGTAAAAAATATAATCTACGCGAAGGCGAATGCTAACACTTCACTCATTGTGATCATGACACACTCCAGTACTCTAAATGTTTCTGGCAATAAACTGGATGTGAAATCTGAGGCTTTCGCACCAGAGGAACGTTCCCATAGTTCCTTTAACTGGTGGAAGTACCTGCTTTTTGGTATGTTTGCACCGCAGGAACTGGGAAAGAGTTTAGTTATAGGAACGGCTTTCGGGGGAACTAAGTTAGCTCCTACTTCATTTTCATTTCTAACTCCA